AACCCAAGAAGGGGTTGCTGTGAGTCTGATTCTACTCGAGGGCAATGAGTTTGGTTTGGTTTTGGTTTTAACACGTGTCAAAATTTCTGTGGATCATGGAACTTTCCATACTAAAATGTTGCTCAAGGTAACACATTTCTAACAAAAATATTTGCCTGTAGTGCCTTCATTTCAAGATTGAGGAATTAACATATGAAAATTACACTTAGGTGGTAAAATCCTGTTACAAATATAAGATAAATAGCAAATGGTCTCCTGTGCTAGTTTACCAGAAAACCTAACAGTGAGAGTCATGCTCAATGGCCTTGTTTAACTAGAGGGACAATAGGCAGGGTGTCATGGAAGAATGAAAAGATTTCACAGTTCAGATAATCCTTAGTCCTGAGAAATACAGAGAGGACATATTAATGAACATGATGATTTCTCTTTTCCCTCTTTATTCCCTTTCTAAAATTTCTAAAATATGGGACCCGTGGCCATCCAGTTGACATCTGACTTGTGTCAACACCGTGTGTCACAGAGCAGAACTGCTCTGTGGGGATTTCTTGGCTGTAATCTTCACAAAGGGGAGCTCTGGTAGCATAGTGGCTAAGGCACTTGACTGCTAACCAGAAGGCTGGCGGTTCAAACCTACCAGCCACTCCTCGGAAGGAAGATGGGGCAATCTACTTCTGTAGTGATACTGCCTCGGAAACCCAAGGAGGGGTCACTATGAGTTGGGTCCGACTCGATGGCACATAACAACAACAACAACAACAATAATCTTCACAGAAGCAGCTCACCATGGGTAGGTTCAAGCCACTGATGTTTAGGTTAATAGTTGAGTGCTAACCATTTGCACCACCGAGGGCACATGAATCATACGAAAAATCTTACGAAACATACATGTACATTATGTTGTTGTTATTGTTACATGCCATCGAGTTGGCCCCGACTCATAGCGACCCCTCCTTGGGTTTGCAAGGCAGTATCGCTATGCAAGTAGATTCATTGTCCAACCTTCCTTCCAAGGAGTGGCTGGTGGGTTTGAACTGCCAGCCTTCTGGTTAGCATGTACATTATACAGCACAGTAATATAAGGAATAATACAAGGAACGCCCCTGAACCCACCACCCAACACAAGGATGGAGCTTCACTAAGTTTTGCGTCTCTCTGTGTGCTACTCACCTCCCATCCAGACATAATCACCGTCCTGAATTTGGGGTTGATCGTCTCCTTCATTCTTTGTTTTCAGTACTTTATCACATAGGTGAGGAGTTCTGGTAGCACAGCTGTTAAGTGTTCAGCTGCTAACTGAAAGGTTGGTGGTTCAAACACATGCAGGGTCTCTGAGGAAGAAAGATCTGCCAATCTGCTTCCATAAAGTCGATTTTGACTCACAGCAACCCTATATGACAGGGTGGACCTGCCCCCATTGGTAAGAATTACAGCCTAGAAAACCTCACAGGGCAGTTCTCCATCACGTGGGGTTGTTATGCCTTGAAAATTGAGTGGATGGCACCTAACAACAACATCACATACGTGTGCCTACTAATTGTTTTATGAAATAGTTATATAGCATGTACTGTGTGCTAGTCATTCCAGGTGCTTTAAAATATTTCATTTAACCCACACAACAGCTCTATGTTGTTGTTGTTGTTGTTAGGTGCCGTCGAGTTGACTCACGGCGACCCTATGTACAACAGAACAAAACACCACCATCCTCACAATCCTTGCTACACCAGAGCCCACCATTGCAGCTGCTGTGTCAGTCCATCTTGTTGAGGGTCTTCCCCTTTTTTGCTGACCCTCCACTCTACCAAGCATGACATCCTTCTCCAGGGAATGGTCCCTTCTGACGACATGACCAAAGTAGGTGAGATAAAGTCTGGCCATTCTCGCTTCCAAGGAGCATTCTGGCTGCACTTCTTTCAAGACAGATTTGTTAATTCTTTTAGCCGTCCATGGTACTTTCAGCATTCTTCGCCAACACCACAACTCAAAAGCATCAACTCTTATTCGGTCTTCCTTATTCATTGTCCAGCTTTCACATGCATATGAGGTGACTGAAAATACCATGGCTTGGGTTAGCTGCACCTTAGTCTTCAAAGTGACATCTTTGCTCTTCAGCACTTTAAAGAGGTCTTTTGCATCATATTTGCCCAGTGCAATACATCATCTCATTTCTTGACTGCTGCTTCCATTTGTGTTGATTGTGGGTCCAAGTAATATGAAATCTTTGACAACTTCAATCTTTTCTCCATTTACCATGATGATACTTATTGGTCCCTATGAGGAAGGTACTATTATTAATCCCATTTTACAGGAAAGAAAACTGAGATGCTGAGAAGCTCAGTGACTTGCCCAAGGTTAAACCAAACCAAACCAAATTCACTGCCATTGAGTCAATTCCAGCTCATAGCAACCCCCATTGGGTTTCCAAGGCTGCAAATCTTTATGGAAGCAGATTATCTTATCCTTCTCCCATGGAGTGGCTGGTGTGTTCGAACCACTGACCTTTTGGTTAGCAGCTGAATGCCTTAACCACTACACCACCAGCGCTCCTTTTGCCCAAGATCACACAGGTAAAAAACTAGGTGGCCCTTGAGTTGACTCTGACCCGTGGTGACCTCGTGTGTGTGCGCCACAGTTTTCAATGGCTAATTTTTCAGAAGTAGATCGCCAGGCCTTTTTTCCAAAGTACCTCTGGGTAGACTTGAACTTCCAAACTTTCAGTTAACAGCTGAGCACATTACCTTTGGCACCATCCAAGGACTCCAAGGTTGCATACACACTAAGAGGTGAAAACAGGACCTGTCTCCTGGTTCTTAGTGTAGTTTTGTTAAGGCGTGTATCTAAGAGGAATTGTGGGCTACAGGGTTTAAGAATATTCACCTTTACAAGATAGTGCCCAATGGTCATCCAGAGAACCAAATATACTCTCACCAGCAGTTATAAGAGCTCCCGTTGACCCACAGCCTCTCTTAACAACTGTCTTGTCAGAATTCCTAACTTTGCCAATCTAATAGTTATAAAATGGTATCCCATTGTGATTTTAATTTTAATTTTCCTTTTATTAAGCATCTTTTCATTTGTTTAGGCATGTTTTCTTTTCTTTGACATATTATTCATTGGAGTCAAAGTTACCATTTATTTATTTCATATATGATTTGTAGGAGCTCTGGTGGCGTAGTGCCTAAGGCATTTGACTGCTAACCAGAAGGGTGGCAGTTCAAACCCACCAGCCACTCTTCGGAAGGAAGATTGGGCAATCTATTTCCATAGAGATGCCGCTTTGGAAACCCAAGGAAGGGTGGCTATGAGTCGGAACCAACTCAACAGCAGTGAGTTTGGTTTTTGGTATGGTGATTTGGGGGTCTTACTTAAGAAATTCTTCCCCACTACACTGATACAACACTCTCTCATATTTTCTTTTTTTTTTTTTTTTTTAATTTCACATATAAATCCTTAATCTAGATGGAATTGATTTCTGCATTTGGTGTGAGGTCCATTCATTCCCATATGGTTAGCCAATGGATCCAGCATCACTGATTAAATAATCCTTTCTTTTGCCCAAAAAAAAAGCAGCCCTGGTGGCACAGTGATTGTCTTAGGCTGGGTTCTCTAGAGAAGCAAAACCTTTGGCGCTTACAGAGAGAGGGAGGGGGAGAGAGAGAGGGAAGTTTTTCTCAAGGAAATGGCTCATGTAGTTGTAGTCCATGGGTCAGACGTCCAGCTGGAGGCGTCTCCTGACTCACACAGCTGCCAGGGCTGATGAACCCCAGATCGGCAGGGACCACAACAAGCTGCTGGCTTTGGAGGCTGACGAATCCAAGATCGGCAGGTAACATGTCAGGTTATTGGCTTATGGATGGCAAAGGCAACAATCCCAAGACCAGCAGGCAATATGTCAGGCCACTGATGAACATCACGATGGCGATGAGCCAGAGGCAGGATCTCAACCAAGAACCCAGAGATCTTTGCCGGATACCAATGTATATCGGAAGCAGGTCATACCCCCGAGGAAGCTCAACCGATTGGCTGCTCACCTCAGATCTCATCATGGAGATGATTACATTATTATCAGATCTCATTATGGGGAACGACTACATCATAACTGCTAAACCACTGAGAATCATGGCCCAGCCAAGCTGACACACAACCTTAACTAACAAGTGGTTAACCACTTGACTACTAACTGAAAGATCAGCTGTTCAAACTGACCAGCCACTCCGTTGGAGAAAGATGAGGCCAGCTGCTTCTGTAAAGAGTTGCAGCCTTGGAAACCCTAGGGGGAAGTCCTACTCTGTGCTGTAGGGTCACTATGAGTCGGAATTGACTTGATGGCAACAGGTTTGGTTTTTCCGTTGGTGGCTTCTGCCCAGTGACCTGCATTGCCACCTGGGGGCTACTATGGGCTGCATTTCCAGAGGCCCTAGGCCTCAAGTATTGAATAATCAGCTGAGTGAGGTGCAAGTTAGGATGAAAACTGAGTTGGGTGCTTATGTCAACTTGTGCTGGACATTTAGTTGGAGAACCTCAAGGCTTGGCCAGGTTTCCTGCCTCTGCCCCCTTAGCTATGGCGATTGCAAGTCTTGACCCCAGATACTGGATATTCCAATTGAGGTGATGCCAACAATGTGTCCTGAGGCTTGACGACATTCTTCTCCCAACGACACACACAAAGGCACACACAGTGCCCCTGCATCCTGTGGGCACATACATCACGAACATGTTTGACCACACGTGGGCCCCATCACTCGCCCCGCCCTCTACTCGGGAACTTATTTATGCCCCAGCTTATCAGCTGCTTCTCGGCTTCCTCTGCCTGGAGCACTGGGTGCCAGCCGGTGCACGTGGCTTCCCAAGCCTGCTCAGATAATGAGAGGAAATGCAGTCACCACTTCACAGAACCCTGGAGATCTCAGGCTGCGGCTCCAGGAGGCCACTCCCTGACCTACACCCTCCATCTCCCCACAGGCAGCCCTCGGCTGTTCGCTGTGAGCCTGTGGATGCTTCCCAAGATGTCCTCTTTCAGTTGCTGGGACCTGCCCATGGCCCTTCTCGCCCTGCTCTGCTGCCCAGGTGAGTGGGTGTCTGGAGCTCCTGATGTGGTACATGCCAGCCCAGAGTTTGGGGTGAAAGGACCTCGGTGGGGCTGCCCTGCTCCCGTGGCCTCAAGTTGGGGCAAGAGGTCCTGGCTTTGAACGAAGAGGCTTTGGACACAGAGGCTGTGACACCAAGGTCCAGGATGCTTGTCCAGCCTGGTTCCAAGCCCCTATAGCCCTGGGCAGCATGTGTGAGGTCCTAGTCTTTTGGACACCAAACTGGACAGGCCCATAGCTTCACCACATATGGATGTGGGAGGTCAAGGCTGAATGAAGGGCTGGGTGGAGCCTCAGGAAGAGTAGGGACATTGGGGTTCAGGGAGAGGTAAGAACAGACCCCTATCTGGTCTTCAGAAGTGGCCTAGGGGACAGTGGGGGGCAGCAGAGGGCATTGCCTTGCTGGCTCTGAGCAAAGTGAAAATGAAACCCCCTTTCCAGTGGGGCTTGGAGCCTACGAAGGAAACTACCACTGTGTGGTGGGAGGCAGCCTCCTCAGTCGAGATGTGGGGTGCTAAGGCCTAAACAAGGGGGGCCATCCCTGGGCTTTCTTCTAGGGCCCCTGACCCTTGATCCAGACTGCCAGCTATAGGCAGCTGCATAGAGCAGGGCATCAGGGACACCTGTGCAGGGTGGACACTGACCAGTGTTTCTGGTCTTCCAGGGTCTGGTGAGGAGGCATTTGAGGTACACATGTGGCCAGAGCAGCTGGTGGTCGAGTCCAGAGGGTCCTTGGAGGTCAACTGTAGCACAAACTGTGCCTGGCCAGAAGCAGGTGGTCTGGAGACCAACCCGGTCAAAACTCTGCTGGGCAACCACACTCAGTGGAAGCATTTCTTGATCTCCAACATCTCCCAGGACACAGTCATCTATTGCTACTTCACTTGCTCCGGGAAGCAGCAGTTCAAGGAGGTCAATGTCAGCGTGTACCGTGAGTGGCTGTGCCCTGGGGTCCTCCTCTGTCCCAGGGCAGAATCTTGTCTATTGAATGTAGGCAAAGGTGCTGTCTGTCACTTCTGGGCACTCACTCTCCTCATGGTTCTGGCCTCCCTGAGCCCGCAAGATGGTGAAGAGTAGGACACAGGCCAGGTGGCTCAGAGGCTGCTCACACTGTGGGCCTTCCTGAACCTGCTGGCGTCTCAGAAGCAAGCTACCAGTGTTTGAGTCTGGCTCAAAGGAGGACAATGTAACCAAGATGTACACAAATCCAAACGTCATTCCCCAACGGTGTTCATAGTCTCCTCCCAGTTCAGTACCAGCTCCATCACCAGAGCAGCCAATGTCCCAATCCCAGCAGCAGAAGTGTCATCAGGAGAGCTGAGCCAACCCTCCAGTGGTCCCTTCACCCCAGTGCAGGCTGAGATCTCACCTGATGTTTTTATCTTCCCCTTCTGGGCCCTGACTGTCACTCATACACCAGCCTATGAGCCCTGAAAACTCTCCAGACAGACCAGGGTTCTTCCCCTTCCAACATTAGTAGATCAAGTGAAGAGAAAGATGCCCTAAATCCAACATATTATCCTGGGTGGGCGTGAGTGGAGGTAGAGTAAAATATTCTCGTTCAAAAAGGAACTTAGGGTGCTGCCAGGTGCCCTGTTTGATAAGGAATCATGGTGGTTATGAACCTGATCTTGGAAACTTAGGCTGATCTGACTCCAGCCTGCCTTTGAAGTGAGGACCCTCACCGTTTATGCACTAATTTCAGCAAGCTCTTCCTCCCAAGCCCTTCTTGACATAATTATCCAATTGTTTCATTTCTGAAATTTCTGTTTCATTCCTGAAGGGGAGACAGACAGATCCAAACTTTCCTGTCTTCCCAGATGGCTGTACAATTTCTGGACTTTCTCTTTGAATTTCGGGACATTGAACACCATCATGTCCATTCCTGAAACTATCATGTAAGAAAAGCCACCACCAGTACATCCTTCACCCCAGACTGCTTCCTCCTCCCTTTCTATATACTCTACAGCAGGCCAGGCCCCAGGCCTCTTCCTTCCTCCAAGTCCAGCCAGGGATCCAAGATCACCATGGTAGCAGGGATGGCCCTGGCCTGGTGGTGGGTGCTGGGACTGTAACCCGACTCTGACAAGACCTCCTTCCTTTCTCCCCTGAAGACCCTCCAAAACAGGTGACACTGACGTTGCAGCCCCTCAGGGTGGTCACGGGCAAATCCTTCACTATTGAGTGCAAGGTGCCCGCCGTGGCACCCCTCAAGAGCCTCACCCTCACCCTGCTGCATGGCAGGAAGATGCTATACAACCAGACCTTTGAGAAAGCAACACCTGACCCCCAAGAGGCCATAGCCACACTGAATGTGACAGCTCACAAGGAAGATGGCCAACACAACTTCTCATGCCAGGCGGAGCTGGACCTGCGCTCTCGTGGTGGAGGCATCTTACGCCGTACCTCAGAGCCCCAGGCGCTGCAGGTCTTTGGTGAGTGGGAGCTGAGGGGATTGGAGAGGGCAGTCACTCCTGGCCCATTAGGGGAACAACCTCTGCTGGTTTGGGAGGCAGGGAGTAGGACCTCCACATTTAACCCCAGAGGGTTCCCATTTACTCTCCCTGTTCTCCAAAGCTCTCTCCCAAGTCCCCAACTTGGACCCTAGCTATTCCAGAGGCCAGGAGAACTAGACAGGTTGCTTGGCCATTACTGAACTGGGTGACCTTGACCAAGAATTGCTGGGTGGTGCAAATGGTTCACGTTGATCCAGTGGCACCTTCGAAGAAAGGCCTGCTACTTCCCAAACTCAGCAACTGAAAACCCTGTGCAGCACGGTTCTACTCTGACACACAGGGTGATCACCATGAGTTGAAGTTGACTCAGTGACAACTGTTAGTTAGACCTTGACCAAGTCATCCTCTTCTTTCTGACCTTGGCTCCTCTTGACAATGAGGTTGGCCTGACCTCCCTGTAACTGCTGTCCTGTGATTCTGGGTGGCCAAAGTGTTCCCTGTCTTTGGGGACTTGGCATGAAATTCATTCAGTTCTGCCCAAGAAGGGCTTGGCCTGGACCACACCACCCTCCAGGCCATGGTGCCCAGCAACCACATGCTGGTCGCAAGGCTGGTGGCAGGTAGACATCTGTCCTCACAGTCTGACAGAGGTCTGGCTGGTGGCCTGGACCCCAGCCCACTCTTCTAGATGATACTTTTGGGGCAGACACCATGTGCCACTTATCTCTATACACAGCATGGAAGAGTGGGTGGGTGGGTGGCAGGTACATCTGCTGGGACCAGAAGACTTCTAAGACCACTGCCCCCTCCGTCCCCAGAGCCCATGCAGGACAATCAGATGTTCATCATCATCACCGTCATGTCGGTGCTGCTGTTCCTGTTTGTGATGTCTGTTCTACTGTGCTTTATTTTTGGCCAGCAATGGTGCCAGAAGAGGATAGGTACCTATGAAGTGCTGGCAGCCTGGCGGAGGCAGCCCAGGGCATAGCAGGCATGCACAGTGGGTCCATGGCCACAGTGGCTTCTGTATCTCAGTGTGGTTCCTCAGGGTGGTGGCCCAGCCCTGGCTGAAGAACTGTGTGACAAACAGCAGAGGACTATGGGGCCATTTCCTTTTTTAGCCCGAATACAAACACCCGGACTTAACCCTGTGTCCTCAATGTCTTCTGGAATACCATCCAAGGCCGGCAGACGTCGACTTCTTTCCCTCGGCTTCCGTTCTGCCTTCTCCTTCACAGGGCCCTTTCTGGAACCTCGGCCAGTCCAGGCCCTGGGGAGGCCTCTGCTGTCCAGCACAGGCACCAGAGCCGCCCCTCATCCAGCTCTGAGTGGCTCCTTCCCCAGGGAAGGAGGGGGGAAAGTCATCCTGGCCCAGTGGGGCAGAGTCACTCTGTTCTCACCTGGCCTCCAGGACCTCGGGCACTCCTGGCTGGAGTAGGACATAGCTGTGACCTCTCCGTTCTGCCAACAGAGTCAACTTCCTGGGTTGAGGGCTCAGCCCCGGGGCCCTCTGAAGCCAAGCCTCTCGCCACTTGTTATAGGCTCTACCCACCACTCTAAGCCTTCTAAGAGCTGTGGCAAAGAGAGGTGGTACCCCCCATTATTAGGCCAACAGGAGACCCCGAGCTCTGTCAGCCCAGAGAGTGGGGTAAGGGAAGAAGGTGAGGGTGGGGCCCTGGGTGCTACTCTCGGAGGCTCTCACCCTGAGCCAAGGTCCGTCTGCTCGATCGCAGTGGGGTGCAGAGGGGACTGATTCCAGAGGACAGGCCCCATAGGTTCAGGCGTTGAAGGGCTGCCAGCCATGAAGCACAGACCACGGGCACAATAGAGGGGCAGGAGGCCCAGGATGGTTTCCACTCTGATGAAGCTGGGCCAGGGCCAGGGTCTAGCTTCATGGCAGGCTCTCGGCATCATAGTAATCTGGGGGAGGCACAGCACCCTCATCTTTTCTCCCTCCTGACTCAGTAAACCCCACAGAGAGGTAGGGGCTCCCCCAGAATATATGGCCTCATGATCCACCCTAGGCCTGCCCCCCAGCCCCTACCTGAAGCTGGAGGCACATCCACACCCACGGTCCCAGTGGCACTTGGGGGTGGGGGTGGGGGCACGGCTCTCCTGCAAAAGGGGAGAGGAAACACCCCATCAGAGGTCCAGGGGTGACCTCTAGGGTTTTGTCCATGACCATCTCCAACCACCCCTAGCCCCTGATAAGCTCTCTTGGCCCCATCCCAGAGCAGGGCCCTGGCAGCGCCCAGACCCCTCTGCCTCACTTACGTCTCCCTCTTCCTGGGGCCAGGAGAACCCTGCTGAGTCCTGGGCGTGGGCTGCAGGTGGGGCTGACCTGAGGGCGAGGCTAGGAGAGGGCCTGCCCAGGGCTGCAGAGGGCCCAGGCTGGGCAGTGGGCAGGGCAGGTAGTGGTGGTGGAACACCAGAGGCCCAATGCCCTGGACTCCCAGGTCTTCCTCCTCCTCAGCGTCCTCCTGGTGACTCTCTAGGTAAACCTGGGGATGGTGGGGAAGGGGGAGGTGGGGAGGTGATGCAGGTCCAGGCTCTCGGTCCTCCACCCCTCTGTTCCCCTAAACCATTGCTCCAGATCACATCATAGTAATGGCCACTGTTTATTAAGCTTTTACTACATGTAAGGAAGGCACTGTGTAGACATTTATTCCTTATTTTGCAGGTGGAGAAACTGAGGGCCAGAGAGGTTGAGCAACTTGTCCTAAGGCCATCCAACTAGTCAGTGGCAGAATAGGGTGCCCATCCCAAGGTCCCTGAGGGCCTAGGGGTGGGGGGATAACACCCCTGTCCAGAGTTCTCCATTCAGGACGGAGAAGGCATGGAGGGAAGCAGCCACAGCAGGGCCTCAGCACCTCTTTCTGCTGGACTCTGCACAGCCCCTCCTTGAACCTGACTCCGCTTCCTCCAGGCCGCCCAGCCTCCTCTTCTTAGCCAGCCTGAGTGTCTCATGACCCATCAGCCTTGGTCCCTCACCTCCCTCCCAGGCAGTAGTGCCAGCCTCAGCTCTTCCTCCAGTCCTCCTCCTCCAGCCACTCCACCTCCAAAATAGGCCATGATCCTATCCCTCCTCCAGCTAAAAGGCACTCCCCTGAGGCACTGCCTTCCATAAACTTCCCTGGCCCCTGCCTGCTCCTGCCTCTACTTCCCTGCTCACAGATCTTCAGGGTGTCCAGTGCTGGTAAAATTAGGCTCACCCTGGATGGTGGGCACACCCCTAACCACCTCAGAGCATCAAAACTACCTGGCTTTGGAGGGGTGGGCCAATGCCACCTGCTTCTAGTCCTCCTCATCGCCAGCTAAGTGTGGGCTCATGCTTTAAACTCTATGCACAGCCATATTAAGTGCTGGCTAGTATTCATAAACTGGTCAACAAGTAACTAATGAGCCCCCAGCAAGTGACATGAGCAGTGCCAGGCACCCGGGTACAGTGGGCCTGCCCTCCAAGGGCTTGCGGTCCAGTGGGGGATGCAATGCAGGGAGACCTTAAAAAAGGCCAAGGTCGTCTGGATTTGCCACCGCACCCCCCACCCCCGTGCAGGCCGACACAGGGCCTGGGACCCACTAGATGCCAAACAGACCCAGCCAGATTGTGCTCTGGCTTCCCGGTGCCCAAGCCTTTTCTCTGGGAGGGTAGGATGACCCCAGATGACCTCGTGGCCCCCGACGCTTTGACCCACGCACCTGCAGGTCCGTGGCGGCGGGCTCGGGGCCCAGCGCCCCGGCCACCAGGCGACTGAGCAGCACCTGGTGCATCTGCGCGTTCTGCAGCAACATCAGCTCCAGCAGGTCTGCGGGCAGCGGTTCAGCGAGTCCCCGGCAGGCCTCCCGCCCCTGCGCCCCCGCCCCGACCTCAGGGCTCTTCCCAGACCCCCAGTCCCGGGCGCTCGGAAGAGAATGTGCTGGGGGGACAGGGGAGGTGGCTAGGGACTACCCCAGAGCCTCACCTTCCTTCACGCTGCCTGGCCGCGGGGGCGGGGGCGGAGGCGGAGGCGGGACGACCCACGGGACAGGCTTCAGGACAGTCACCCAGGGCTAAAGGACGGGGGAGACAGGCCAAGAGGGAAAGGGATGGGGGTACGTCGCGAGCTCCAGCCCCACCCCTGCGGACTGCACCCCTAACCTTGCCAGCCCACGATCTCCACGCATCCCCCTCAAGTCTCTTCTATCGGATCGGGATCGATCCCCTCCGCGCCACAATCCCGCCACTTCCTCCTCCGGGCTCCCCACCCCCACCCCATGAACGCCGGCCCTGCTCCTCGGCCCAGCGCTCACTGTCTGGGCTGCACTCTGCGACGAGGGGAGGTCCCAGCTGCCGCTCTGCCTGGCGGCCATGGCTGGCGTCTACTGTTTGGGGTTCCCGTGGCGACGCCCGCGGCCGCACTCCGCTCCACCGCGCACGCGCAGGCTCCGCCCAGGGCCTTTCTCCACCCTCCTCTCTGCTGCTGCAGGGTGGTGGGGTCTCCCAGGAGCCCGCCAGAAGCCTGTATGTCTGCGAGGGTTCCAACTCCAACCCCCGGGGCCCTCTGAACGTCGTGTCTTGCTCCTTTGTGTATCCCACCCTTCCTCATCTCCAGTACTGAGCTGGGCTGGGGCGCACGTTTGTTGAGTGAATGCACGGGATGGGAGGCCGGGGGCCCCACCTCAGACACTTGGTTTCTAGGCCCCAGAGCCAGATTGACTCGGACGACGAGTTAAACCGGAATCGACAGTTTTGTAGGTGCAGAGGGGTAGACTTGGGGGCCGGGGTCAGGTGAGTGAGGAGGGCTGCGAATCTGCCCCCCTGTCTCTCTGAGTGAGAGGGACATCCTACAGGCCAAAGAATGGTTTGTGGAGCCGATCAAGTCAGGAAACACCGGCCAAATTCACGGAAGAGGCTGGAGCCCTCCCTGGTCAGCAACGCGAGGCCGCCCCCTGGGTTCTCCCGCTGCAGCTGTTGGCTCCCTGGTTGGTGGCCAAAGAGAGCCGCTGATTCTCAGAGGGGAAGGAACGGGTCTAGTTCAGCGCCAGCGTCCCGTTATTGGAAAAATTACCAAAGCATGCCTCTTCTGACAGGAACTCAGCGAGGTCTTCTCCGCTAAGAACAGGTGAGGGGGAGATCTATTTCGACAGCTGTGACCATCCTAAGATAGGGCCTGGGCAGCCGTCAAGGAAAATCCAGACAGGAAGCTGGGATTAGCACCCTGAACTGCCCTTCCTCCACCTCCCATGTCTGTTCGCTCCTCTCCCCGCAGTCTTGGTGTCTAGAACCAGAGAGACCATTCCTGCCTGCTCCTTTTGTGCCTTTGTCCTTGTCTGCAGAGGAGGGCGCCTGTGACTGGGCGCCTTAGTTCCCACACTTCTCATCTCTCTCACAGCCATCAACAAGCTGAGACCAAGGCTCTGTGGGCACAGGCTCCAGGTCAACAGGAGGAACATGGACGAGTGTCTCGGCGTCTCCACCGTCGTTCCAAGTAGAAAAATGAAGCCAGGCATTGTGATCACTGTCAGTAAACCCAGCCCAAGGAAGTGTCTGAACGTGCAAGGCGCCATTTTGAACTCTGGAGACACAAAGGGCTACCAGGTAGCATATCCTCACTGCTCCAACACTCTTGGGAAGTGAAAACATAACCATGAAAAGAGAGCAAAACTGCAAGACTATGCAGAGTCCCCTATTGGTGACACACGAGAAGGGATGGTGACAACGAGAGGATTCCATCACTGAGGGAGGCGGGTCCCATGGGACAGAGCAGGGCAGGAAGGAGAGGACAGTCCAGGCTGAGGATATGGCCCAAACAAAAGTACAGACCAGAATGGACCAGGCCTGTAATGGGTCAAACTGCCTGGGTGTGGTGGGGGAGCCAGGCAGGGAGCAGCTGAAGATCCAGTGGTCCAGGCATCTACGGGTCAGACTCGAATGCCGAGTGACGGGGTTTACCCCCACACACACACACAAAATGAAACTCACTGCCATGGAGTCAGTTCAACTCATAACTACCCTTCCTTGGGTTCCCAAGGTGGTATCTCTACAGAAGTAGATTGCCCAATCTTCCTTCTGGGGAGTGGCTGGTGGGTTTGAACCACCAGCCTTCTGGTTAGCAGTCAAGCGCCTTAGGTACTACGCCACACCATATAGGTAATGAGAGCTGTTGATGGGCCTTAAGCAGGGGAGAAGTAAGGAGGTGACATGTGCACAGCCATGTTTTAGAAAGATCATGTCCCTTACATCTTTGTTTCTATCAGCCAAGAATTAGAAATAACAAATGTCTCATGGTCAGTACCCACCCAACTGAGTGCTATTCAACCAATGACAGTTATGGGATAGAATATACCTGTTGATGCTGCCTTTGAGAGGGGCACAGTGAGGCCTGGGGAGTGGTCACCCTCCAGCCCAGGATGGGTCTGATGGTTCTTGTCGTCCCAGTGACTCTGCTGCTCTGGCTCAGACTCCATGGATGTGGTCTCAGTCCTCAGCAAACTCTTCCTTGGGGTCCAGGCTTGGCCAGGGTTTGAGAAGCTCCTGGTGTTTCCAATACTTTCCATAGCTCAGCTCAAAAGTTAAGCAAAGCAAGCATATACATACATACATACATACATACATACATATATATATATATACACACACACACATATACATACATACCTTGTTGTTGTTGTTATATGCCATCAAGTCGGACCCAACTCATAGCGACTCCTCCTTGGGTTTCCGAGGCAGTATCACTACGGAAGTAGATTGCCCCACCTTCCTTCTGAGGAACGGCTGGTGGATTTGCACTGCCAGCCTTCTGGTTAGCAGTCAAGTGCCTTA